GTAAGACTTATTTCTTTTCACAGAACTTTCATCAGAGGACAGGTGGATATTCATGGCTTTGTTTTCATTAACAATAGCTATGTCAAGAACCAATAGAAAACAGTCGTTAAGTAAAATTCAGCGCACCCGCCTGTCATTACATTGTCTAAAACGGCTCGGGAACAAAGCTAGCTAATTTAATTCCTTGTCTTCCCTTCTTCGGATTAATTTCTCACTTTTTGTTTCAACATTAAGTAGCACGTCCAAAATTGGTTTAACACCCAATTATTGGCTATTTTTTGTAGGGTAGTGACTTTCTTCCCAACGTATCGGTGAATTTTACTGTGATATCAGCTCTCAAGAACCTTGTAGGGTGCATCACGTTCGATAATTCCAACGCGGAAGGTTTTTCATAACAAAGTGAAAGCAAGGAAGGTATGCCTATAATCTGAGTAAGTTAACTAGGAACGCCTGAGACGAAGTTTTTAATGTGACATATGTCGAAGTGCTGCAGCGATGTGAACCAGGTAAATGTCAAACTTTTCTTTCGGAGTTATGAGCTACTTTGCTTAGGCAATTTCCTCACAAAAAACTGAATTGGAGCACCCCTTTCATTGGAACTGAAAACAGTCTTCAAAGTATGCACTGAAAGATACATCTACTTTTCCACTGTCGACCTGCTATGACTGAATATGAAAATATCAAAACTTATCAGCTTAAACCGGCTTGCTGCAAATAAACAAATTTGAAGTGTGATATCTATGCATCATCTAGGCAGTAATATAATGTCAGTCTTTATAAAAAAAAAAGAACCCCGGTAACTCGAACTCTGAAGGGAAACGAAAAAACAGTTCGAGTAAGCGGGGAATTCAAGTTATCAGGGTAAATTTCAGTGAAATTTTGATCAAGGAAAGGGAAATTTAGTTCGAGTTAGTGGGGAATTCGGGTTATCCGAGTTTGAGTTATCGAAGGAGTTTCTACTGTATGTTATTGTATATATTGACACTTATAGGATGTCAGTTTAAGAACTGACGTACGTAATTGCTTCAAGAAAAAAAATAATTACAGCATTGGCGTAATCAACTGGTCTGTGAAAGTTTACATAAGTTTGGGTGTTAAGCGGCGTGTGCATATTCAACCACAGTCGTCTGTTATTCAAGGTGACAGAAACGGTGTCAGAGAGCATGATCCCATTTGGACATGTACTAAGGTTTGTGATCTACCTTTTTAACTAAAATGCGAGCCGGATGTGAAGAAAGAATACTCATCTTTTACCTGCCATTGCATTTATTAAAATCCTAAGTGTTTACTGGCAGGTGGTGGACTGAATTATGATAATACTCTCATCATTACAGTCTCTCATACAAACGATAGCTTCGTTTCTAAATGCGCACGCTTGGGAGGTTAAGAAGCTGTGACAGCGAATTAAACATAATAATGTCATGAGACTTCATTTTGTTTCAAAACAAAATGTTTTGGGTGGTACTTGTTAAACTTCTCTTAAATTTCAGAAGAAAGAATTCTCCATCTGCCTATCTCCCATAACAGACCTTCTTTGTCCCCCACCAACCGAAAAAATTTTACTTAGCATCGGTTTCAATTTCTCTTGGGACAGTTGTTACACCTAGAGAAAATTAAAAAAGAAAGGTTACGCAAAATTTTTCGTAGAAGGGGGCGGGGCGGCAAACGGGCCGGGTGTATTGTGTGAGATGAGCAAATAGCGAATAGGGTAAACAGCTCATCTTCGAGTTGGTTTTAAGCCTCTTTATCAACTCAAAACAAAGCTCTTGATAACAAGAGCGCGTAGGATCGCCATGAGTCTATTACGCCGCTAAATATAACAAAAACGCAGAATGTAACAACTACTTGGACGCAAAGTGTAAAATTAACGCAAAATGTAACAATTTTTAACCCAAAATGAAACATTTTGAACACGAAATGTTACAGGAATTTTAATTGACGCAACTAGGTTTGGAGATAATCGTAATTAGCTGTTAGTATTAGTAGCTATATGCAATCCCTGGAGTTTTCATATTCACATAACTTTAAAAACCATAGTTATTAGAGGAGACTGGTTATGAAAAGCGGCAAACATCAATGATAAAAACAACAGTGCTGCAGTTTATGTTGGAAGCACCCTGAAAGTGCACAATCCTTTGTTTTCTGTTGGCAAATTGTTACGGAATAAATTAATGCAACGTTTTTATTGGTCAATACAATCAAAATGATAGGAATTCTTTTGAACGTTGTGCACTTTCAGGTCCACAAAAACATATAACAAAGGAGTCTGACGGGTTTCATAACCATTCCACTCAATTAACTATGGTTAAAACATACCATTTAAAAATAATCTGTTATCATTGTCCTTTCAGCTAAACGCCCCTTTCTCTGAAGATGAAGTTGCGCACGATGTCTTCAATGATCCTCATACTCATAGGAATACTACTCTGGAAACCCTTTTTTACGACAGACGCTGCTTCTGACCAAGCTTGTCCAACTACCTTACCGGTCCGGATATCGGCCTTGAACTTTCCTCCCCTTGTCGAGCCATCTCCAGATAGAGCAAAAGCACTAAAAGGTGTACTGGGAGAATTTATAATCCATATTATCAGGAAGTGTTTTTTGAGAGATTGTAAATTAAACGCAAGCTCGGTCCAAACGACCGTGTTTAACACAACTTGGAGTTTTTTGAGGTCAATACAAGACGGTGAAGCCACAATTGCATTTCCTATAACACGACCAATAAAGATGTGGCTGTCTGATGACGACTACATTGGGCCAAAGATGTCATTTCAAGAATTCTTCGTCTCCCCTGGGTACTCGCTTGTAATGGACGTGGAGTATATCAACAAAAAAGCCAACGATATCATCGTTCAGTCCCTAATGGAAAACACTTGGCCAATTATTGTCTTTACCCTTCTTATAGCTGGAATCTCAGGAATAATCGTCTGGATTCTAGTAAGATTGAATTTTCATTGTCCTCATCAATATCTATTTTTCTTCCATTAGGCTGATACAAAATGCCAATTTTTTTCGAGTACTGTCTCCGCTGACAAACCATGCATAGGCTGCTTTGTATACATCATTGTTTTTTTAAAAGCCACATCACCTAAACATTAAGTAAACAAACTCGCCACACTTGTAACGCACCTCGTTATTGTAAGTCGTAAGGCGAAGCAAGCGCGCTACATACCTCGCTCTTTACAGAGTCTTTTATTGACACCTACTTACGAGATTTCTTAGTCTCCCTCGCTAATGAGATGTGTTTAAGAGGGAGTCGGTTCGCCTTCTGTTTTCAGCCCACTCGACAATCATGGACAATTACTTGTTATCTAGATACAAAACAATATGGTCTTTTTTTTGAAAGGAGGTTCCTTTAAAAGCCCTCCTAGAAAATCGACAACAAGTATAAAAAAAATAAAATGATGCAATTTTATGCATTTTTTTCGACATATACCTTTGGAATTTATTACGTTTTCAGGAAACATACTTCAATGAAGAGGAATTCCCTCGTTCGTTTACTAAAGGCTCCTATGAAGGCTTTTGGTGGGCTTTTGTTTCCATGACAACAGTGGGGTACGTAAAATGATGCTCCTCTCTTATCCTATGGATAGAGATTTATCCAGTGTATAGCGTTATCTACCTTTTCAACAAATGAGGCTTCTATGTCCGTTTTGATACTAAAGTCGTTATCCCTGGACGAACTTGGGCAAACATTTTGTCGCTCGTGTGGTTATGCAACGACTCCCTACGAGAGGTAGTTTGTCTGAATGCATAATGCATCTGATCTTGTACCTTTCTTTATAACCAGACGAGCTACAAAATGTTTGCCCAAGTATGTCCAGACGAATAGAGAGTCTTAAGTTTAAAAACAGCCAATAAGAGGCAGCTTCTTAAGACTTTTTTTGTTGTTGTTAATTTAAGGGCACTTAGTTGAAATAGTGGTCGGAGCACATTCCGGTTTAAGTTAAATGCCAATGTAGGTAGTATAAATCAAGGACCCCGTTCTAACGTCCCCTGTAAGAGGCAGAATTTTCGTTACGTAGTGCTCATCCGAGACACGTGAAGGTCTAGTCGTTTGCCACAATGCAGTGATTTTATGACTTGGTCCGGCCCTGGGAATCGAACCCAGGACGTCTCGGGAGCTTAAGCAAGGAGGTTTATGTTAGCAAATCAACAACACTGCAAGTGCATCAGGCTTTGCAGTACATTTCTTTGTCGTCTTTGCACGAATTCGACGAGCAACTGCCGAATTTCACGTTTTCTGGCGGACGAACTCACGTTTTAAGAGACCGTTTAGCCACCATTGCTGTCGTCGTTACTTAAACTCGCTAATGTGTTTGGTGTTCCAACATTTGTTTTCTTATTAGGTATGGTGACAAAACTCCCAAATTCATTTTTGGTCGTTTGTTTGGCATCGCTTGGATTTTGACTGGATTGGTTGTCATAGCAGTGTTCACAGCGACTGCCACAAGTTCACTCAGCGTCTCCCCAAGCGACTTGGCAGTGCTTGAAGGAACAACTGTAAGAAAAACTCGCGGCCCTGATATAATCAAAATCAAAAGACCTTAATTGTGTTTAATAGTTTAATACGGACAATAAAAATGCCGTATAAGACCTTTGTTAAAACAGTTCTTTGAATGGCTGGGCAACATTGTTCTTTATGTACAGAGAGCAACTTTTGTTCAAAACCGTAACTAACAAGTCATAGATATTAATTAACACGGAAGTGTACCACCGCTTATTGCCTTAAAAAGTATGTTTTTCAATCTACTTCCTTGCATTTGCCTTATTAGGTTGGAGTATTGAATGTTACATCAGCAGGGTTAGAGGCAAAACAAAGAGGCGCCATAGTAAAAGGTAAGTAAGGTCATATAACCTCTTGGCAACGTACACTAAAACTAGTTACAACCAAAGGTTACGGAGTGCGGGCGACAACGATCGAAGGTCAAAACGCTTTCGCTCCATCGCTGTGCTTTGCGTAAGTTTCACGTGACAGATAGTCAAAACACGCGTGATCAGATTACGAGTGATAGAAGGTCCAAAATGCGCGTCATAAATTGCGTTCAGTGCATTCCATTCATTGTTAGTGGAAGTCTAAATGAATGCTGGCTACATACATGCGACGCATGAGTGATAACAACCTGAAGATTAGGATTGCGGGCTCCTCTTGTCGCCAGCAATTACGGAGAGCGAGAGTGGACAGATAAAATAAATTACTGAAAAGAAAAAAAGAATTTAAATGGATATAACAAAGGTTAAAAATTCCACCTGGCCGGGAGCCGTGTTCAAAAGTTGCAGTACCGTTAATTAAATTAGTCCAAGGGGCTTGCAACCGGTTCCTCCGGATTGCATGTCTAGAGCTCCGACCGTTGGTTCATGCTGTACTGTTTGTTTATTTGTTTGCTTGCTTAGCCGCAAATGTTCACTTTCAACCGGATCATCCGGATCCATGGCGTCGAAGCCATATATGAGTTGAGTTTGTTGTTGGTTCTCTCCCTTTCTTCTAGAGATTTTTCTCTGGGTACTCCGGTTTTCCCAACATAACGACAACATAACGAATATGCTTGAAATAAATATCCCGATGTATATAGCGCTTACGCAATCCAAAAAATCAAGGTATAAGAGATTTGTAACAAAGCTTTGTTGTATTTTTACTCCGGAATACGATGAATGGATCGCACCCTTGTTTACCAATCCATTTTCTTACAGAGTTCCCATCAGCTGAGCTTCTGTTCAGAGGGCTCGAGGCAAATATTATAGATGGCATATTCATGGACAAATTCAAAGCTGGCCACTACCTACACTCAAGAAATAAGTCTAACCTCAAAGTTTTTCTGTCTGTTGATACGAGCGAAGCGGTGAAATATGACCTTGCTGTACTTGGCGTTTCAGCGAACAACTCATGCTTTAAATCTGCTATCATGAAACGTGATGTGGACGAATTGCTCCTACAGTATTTGAAGCCGGTAGCGGTAAGGAATAAATCTGATTTGATAAGAACTGAAGAAGGCTTTACTAATACCGTTATAACTTAAGTCTTCCCGGCTGTAGGCCCATTCGCCTGCAAACAAAAAATACATCCGATTATAACCCTTCCGGATATAAACGCCCTTCTAGCTCCGATTGTAAGCCCACCCTCCTGAGAATTCGGTTTATTGTGACGTTTTGAAGCTTAACCCCCGCTAAAACCCCACTGCTTATAAGCTGAAGGTTACGGTAATAGCTAATTACGGTCATATCTAACTGTATTGAGCGTTTTTACTCCCGTGAACAGCATCTAAACAAATTTATTGTAACAATAGAAAGCGTTTACATAAAAAAGGAGTTCAGTGTTTTCTACTTGTGTCAAAAGAAAAAAACAAATACCAGTCATTAAGGGCCATATTTCAATCTTTAAACCTTCCCACACTGGCTTTGCTTCCTGGATTTTGGCTCAGTAAAAACAAGGGAAGTAGGAGATAGCCGGGGCTCATATTTACCTCTGAATAGTTTGTAATTACGGATTGTCAATAAAGTCTTAACCATTCCTTTACATGACCATTTCAGGCTTATAACCAGGACAGTGACTCGACGAGTATCTTCTCTGGTGCATCAAAATCCACCCAACGTTTCCTATTTATCACAATGGGGGTTTTCTTGTGCCTCGTATTGTTGGGGATTATTGGTGAACTTGTGTACAAAACAATGTGGAAAGCAAACAAAAGGGTTGAGAATAGTGAAGGTTAGTAGTGAAGGGCGTATGTTTCACTCCTTTTTATCCACTGGAGTTTCATGCAAACCGTTGAGTATTGCCGTATCACCCAGTTGCAGACCTGGATCAGCATAAATAGTTTGTATAGAAAATATACAAAACTTCAAAGCGATAAAGAAGTAAACAAACTTTAATTAATTGTGGTTAATATTAAAAAAAATTAGCCCGGTAATTCGTTCTTTTTTAAAACTTTCTCTCCTTGACGGTCCTTTCCATCCGAAAAGGAGGAATTAAACTCGGCATTTGCGTTGCATTTCGCAGCCGAATTAACAATATCCTGGGTAGCTTATTTTTCGTGTGAGTGTAATGACTATTTCTCTTGTAGATGGGATTGAATTGAAGGATGTCAAGGTTCAGTCAAACTCCAGCAAAGGCAACCTCAAAGATATTGAGGACAAACTGGGACAGTTGGTTTGTGAAGTCAGGAAATTACAAGAACAACTTGTTAATATTTCATCTCAAGCAAATGGGACTTTCGCACAGAGCACAACTCACATGTAGGGCTTAGCAGTGAAAATAGACGCCATCTTATAAGCTGATTCGGTTGCAAGGCTGAGGACCTAGTTGCAAAGGTTTTGTGTGGTGGAGTGAGAGTTGGATTCGCCAGTGAACAGGCATGGAACTTTGAATAGACGAAGCATAATGATCACTTCTGCCTCATCATCGGCACGTGATTACTATTCCCTTGTCAAGTTTTCGGTCAAAATCTGATCAGTTATTCTACTTGAAACTAGAAATAGTTTTATCGCTGAACCACGTAAGGCTCAGGAGGGTGCTCCGTAAAATGTTAGGGATGGGAGTTATACTTTCTTGAAAAATAGAATGAATACGTTTGGAGAAGACCTCCGATAACAAATCCAGCGTTGCATCTGGGAAATCGAACTCAGAGGCTTCCGCACACTGTTTGGATGCTTTTATCACTGAGGTACTGGGAACTCGAGTTGTGAGTGATGGTTACTTGTAGGTTACCAGGCAACTACTGCGTAAAATTATACATGTATGTCAATGAACTTTGGAATGTTGGGACAGGGGAGGGGTAGTTGGGCAGTTTCCAAGAATATCATAATGATCCAACTTCTCAAGCAATTCACATAAAGGATAATATTAATTACCGCGATGTCTTTAATTTCTACGTACGTTCGTGAAACCAGTTTGTAAATTAAATCTCGTCAGCAAGGATTCGCCTGCATATCTACCAGCCCCGTTTGCACTGTGTGCATTTCCCTTAACCTAAATTAATTCTTCTTTTATTGGTCATTGTTTCAAGTGAGCCTCTGGTCTAACTTTAGTATAAATATAAAAAACCACCAGACTTCAGTTACGACACCGCCTCTATAGAAAGAAAAATGTATTACAGGTGTTATTACGGGTTTTGCTATAAAGCGTACGATCGCATTGCTACAGTATAATCATCCTGGCCTTGAAATAGTAACAAATATCAGTCATTTTCATTCCTTGACAGTCCTAGGCCTAGGCCAAACGTTATCATGAGACGAACCAAACTCTAATTTGGGTCAAACCTAAATTAAGTTTAAGATCGTCTGTTGGGTCAGATGTCGAACTTAGGACGAGTCGAACCAATCAACTGAATACAAATTTTTAATTTACTAGTTTAGAAAGTCGCATGTGAAGACGGGGACAATCTTCAGACGTTCTATCCTTCTGAAGCCGACGGAGAGACGATCCACACTCATTCAGACGAACTTAACAGAGCCAGACATCGAGATTTTCATGAACTTAACTCACTAAGTTTGGTTTGTCTAATGAAAAGTTCGACATTTGGCCTAGGCCTTAGGTCCTTGATGTAGAACTCTAGTCGTCCTGATAATCAAACTAACAAACTTCTAAAAATCGCTACATTTTCAAGTTAGTATATTTTTATACACTCAGAAGCAAGCAATTTGGATGGGTTGTGCGTAAGTCTCATGCAATAAAAACAAAATGTTTCGAAATAAGCAGGGCTAGCTATTTTAATTACACAAAGTCTAAAGTTAGACCGTGGACAAAAGCGTTCAATGTGACCATTGCGTCTGTTTTACAGGTCTTACTAAAACTATTTACAGTCCTATGGCTGCTACCCTTGGAACTGCGTTAAACTGACAGCAAGCCTTAAAATTTTCCTTTTTCAATTGTAAAACAAAAACTACCCAGTAGGTGTGAAGCATGCATCTTTACTACGTCTTTTTACCGTACACTGCTTGAATCGTTTCTCTCCTTGCTCGAAAAAAGTACGTATTCACTATTAAAAAACAAGTTTTGTAAATCATTCAGGCTGTTTAGGTTGTTTTTGACTATGGGGTATAAAGCTTTGATTGCCTCTTGATGAATATTTAAATTGAAGGCTCTAGCAACACGTGACCAGCTAAGGGACCGGTCATTATTTATCGCCTGGGGGGGGTCGGAGGATTTTGGGCTAAACACGATGAAATTTAGCCGATCCCCCCTTTAAGTGTTATTTTATTGAAGTGATCCCCCCTCATAACTATATATAACTTTCGTGATCCCCCCCCCATGTCTTTGTACCCATATTCACCTTTCGACGTGTATATTTAGTGTTTTAAACGTTCATATACAGGTAGTATTTCTAACTATGATGTACTTACAGCATAATAAAGCCGTTATCGCGCAGTCTTTTTTTAAAAGTGTCTCTTGATCCGTGTCTTTTTCTAGTCTGGATCCAGACATCTGAATTCAGTTGACATACAAGCAATCTTGCTTAAAACTGCAAAGTGCTTGAAACTGCAATCAGTGCTTGAAACTGCAAAGTTACTTTTTTTAGAGTGCCAAATAGCAGTCCGCCAAGTCCCTATCAGCAGGTCATATTTAGCGACAATTTTCAGAGGACCACACTCTAAAGTCATTTGCAGGCGATGAGTTGGCCTATTTAGAAGAAGCACATAGGCGAATCACTACACTGCACGAGGAACTTCAGTCCGCATCCAACAAGTTGACAACAGCGCATATTAACCTGTCAAAGAAGTTTATTTCCTTTGTGCGCGAGAAAACCAACAATGTCAAGAAGAAAGAAGGAAAATAAGAGGAAGGTCCGAAAAACCAAGGACAAGCGACTCAAGCAGAAAATCTAGAGCAAGTAGCGGCCATTTTAAGGGCACAAAGTCCAGGGTCAACCTGCCGAAGGGGACTAAATGTTGCTGTTGAATCGGATGACGAGGCTCAAGAGGCAAATGAAGTTGTTGAATGGGATGATGAGGCTCAAGATGAGGCAGATGAAGCAGTTGAATCGAATTTAGTATAGAGCTGACACAGGACGCCCATTCCTGGAGAGGCGATAAATCGTTTATGTTTAAACAAACACGCTTTTTACAATGTTTCAGTTATCAGAAGCTTATATAGTTCACAATTTAGAATTCACCTGTCATGTTTAAAGATGAATATTAGCTAAGTCATGAGTACGTTATAAAAGGAAAAATATAAAGCGTTAAAACAAAGCTTTCTCGATATAAATTCACCTTCTGAGCGTCAGATTTCACGTGTAGTTTCACGTGACTTTTGACGACCTTTGTTGTAAACAAACCCGCAAAGTTCGGACATTCGTTCTCTGCCACATACTGTACTTGTACGAACTACACTCGCTATTTCAAGTTTGCGTTAGTTTATAAATGTTATTTCCCTTTCGCTGTTTGAGACTCGAAATGTTTAAGGTTCAAAAATGTCTGAGCAGAAGAATAAGAGCGATTTTAAGGCCAAGAACATGGCAGAAGTTACGGCAGGAACGAGGAGTGCTTGCAATAGAAATTCCGGTCTCAGCAGCTGAAATGGTGTTAACATTGGAACTAACCCTCGAAAGAGATAAAACCGGTGATGCAGGGAAATTTCATGATACATACATAATTCACATTTCAAAATTCATGATCACACGCGATCACACGCTATTAATTCCCAATCCATTTTCGCTACAAAGACCGTTTGGCTATTTGTTGTTTGACATTTTCCTTTTCAATTTGTATATTACGGCAAACAGGGACTCGACACTTGATGACGGTTATGTTGATGGCATTTACTTACTGAGGTTGAATCAAGATGTCTGTAGCAAAACAGTGCAGGCTTTTGTGAACATACATTTGATTTATATTTAATCGTGTAGAGACAAAAGGAGGCAGTGTACTATACTTCAGCCAAGATAAGCATAGCGTATGAAAGGCGGTCGAGACGAAAATGTAAGCACACTGCCGTATAATGAATTATAAATGTGTCTGCATCATTAGCTTCATTTTCTTCAAGTTTAGATCCACCTTGAAAAACCATTCTTTCAACTGAAGAGGAGATTTCTACGCGCTTGTTGACACTCCATGTACCGGCGAATATTTTTTCTGTTTTACCACACTCGAGGCGGTTAAAGTCACTCCAGATCTTCCGCTTTGACATTTTGAACCTTAAACTATTCCATTTTCAAACAGCGAAAGGGAAGGAAAACATATAAGTTAACGCTAACTCGAAGTAGCGACTCGTAGTTCGTACATGTACAGTATGTGAGAGAGAACAGATGTCCGAACTTTGCGGGTTTGTTTACAACAAAGGTCATCAAAAGTCACGTGAAACTACACGTGAAATCTGACGCTCAGAAGGTGAATTGAAATGCACACATTCGTCAGTGTGACAGACTTCCGTTTTTTAAATAAAGTTGTGTTAGAACAAATTGAGATTGCAAATGCTATCATCTCCCAGCAGAATGGGCACATTTATGTTGTATGCTTTCAAACTGGCATTGTTCAAGCAGATTTGAGTGGTCCCCCGTCTGAATCCTTCCAAAATTTTCAGTGATCCCCCCTTTTGGGCTCTCAGTTACGACTGATCCCCCCCTCTGTTCTCCTAAAAATCAAGTGATCCCCCCCAAAATCCTCCGACCCCCCCCAGGTGATAAATAATGACCGGTCCCTAATAAAGCTGAAATAGCCCATTCCCAGGGGTACAGGAGGCAAGAATACTGTCTATTTTGGGGGGATCTATCTTCTGTTATCAGAAGCTAACACACTAGTGTTCAGTCATACATTTTAGTTTCAATTCATGCATCAGTACATTTCCTCAGCCCCAACAAAGGCAAAAAGAAAAAAATTATAATAATGATAAAACATCCAAACTGTTTCCAGATAAAGGGAAAATTTGTATCGTTCGAGACACTCATGCTTCCTGAACAATAACCTTTTCCATTGTAATGCTAAAGAATTGACTTTTGACTTTGTTAGCTAGCCAATTGTAACTATTTTTGGCTTCGTGAGCAATCCTTTAGAGAGTTTCAATGTTGAGCATTGAAATGAATAAGTTTCTTCCTTAGGGCTCTCGTTGATAGGTATGGAGGTCTTCTGGATCCAATTGTTTAGTTTGGGATCATAGCTATTAACTACAATCTCGGCTGGCTGAGACGAATTTTTTTCAGCAACACCCACTACATAAACTGTTTCGTTAAGACACACCAAACTAAGTGAAACAACTGGGCGGGTAAAGTTCAAACTTGGAATGGTATGCCATTCGTTAGTGGAAACCTGATACACTCCACATTGCTGGCTACTGGCAGAAGCAACAAAAATCTTCTCTTTAGTAGCAACACCACAGGGACTAGACTCTGAAATTGGCATTGATGCAATTTCCTCCCATTTGCTGTCCACAGTATTAAATCTGCTAGCTTTATTACTACATCCACCACCAAGAATATACAGACAGTTGCCAAAGGCAACAATGCAAGAGTCGTCCTGATAGTGGACGTCCTGAGAGGATGGCAGAGTCTCCCAGGTGCACAACTCCACATTGTATCTTTTAATCACCAACCCAGACAACATAACGACGCGTCTGAGGGTTCTGTGGGAAGGATCGGCCTCTTGACGGAACTGTCGGTACATATATGTAGCATGGATTTGCCCATTAACAACAGCCAACGAGAATATACTATCATTTGGAAGGGGTAACTTTAATGTGGTCCAGCTGTTGAAAGCGGGGTCATATTTTTCTGTTTCAGCATTTCTTCTCCGAGGAAAACTATACAGCTGATCATGGAATTTTATTAAATTTGTAAAGTGGTCTCGGTCTTCTGATAATCCGTCTGCTAGTCGCTTCCATTCATCTTCCTCGGGAAGGTAACAGTAGGTTTTCTTTCCCCCACGTACTACAATGGCTTCCGTTTGAAGCCTTCTTCTTGAAGCACATGAAAAAAAAGAAAAATGTTCTGTTACCAGTTCATTTGTCACAACATCAGAGAACAAAGAGTCACGCGAAAGCATGACCAGTCGGACATGACGAAAAAGCTGCTCAAACTTGTCTTTTCGCTCGCCTTTGTTTTGCTCGACCCAGTTAACTATTATTCTGAACACATCTTCTTCAGCTGCAACCAAAATATTTTCACTTGAAATCCACTTTTCAACTTCTTCTGCATCCAAGTTTAAAAATTCGTCTGACTTTGCTACGGAAGTAAAGTTGTCTTGAATGAAGTTTGTACTGCGAAGAACAAGTTCTTGACACCGATATTTCTCGGCAAAGTGAAAAGTTGAAATGCAATTGTAGTTGGACATTTGCTTCTCTAGAAATCGCCCGGCGATGACTTTCAAAGACTCAAGCGGTAAATAGTCGGCTGCGACTATCAGATTCTTGGCGTTTTTTCTATTTACCTCAATACTTCCTGTGTAAATGAACTTTACAATAACTCCGAGAATGGATTCTGAAATCTCTTCGAACCGAATGACTCCTTCCTCCTTCTCTCTCATGTCGCTATTAAGAAGCTTCGAAAAAAACGGGCTCGCCGCAGAAATAACGTTACTCACAGCTCAATTAGCAATGGAGCGTTCCAAATTTCACAAGGTTAAGTCGTTGTTAAAATGCAAATAGTCTCGGAATTTCTTAGTTCTGATAGGTAATGGTAATGATAACGTCGCGGATGAGAGGACAACAGTATATGTCCTATTTACGCGATGTATTTTAAAACACTAATATAAGAGGGACAGTAAATTGGATAGCTGACTTTGAGAAAACAAAAAAAAGGCCTGCAAGAGAACATGCAAGGAAAAATATACTTTCGAAGAAGACCATTTTGAGGAGCAAATGAATGAATGAGTAATATTAATCTTATTGAAGATGCCAACTTCACTTAAACTAGTGCTTCTTAGACTAAAATCACTTGACGAATATAATAATTTACATATCAAAAGTTTGAAAAGTAGAGTGGAGAAGTCGTTACGTCACGTTGCCATGGCAGCAAAATTTTTGGATGACAACAAACCGATAAAGTCACTTAAAAGTCTTTCGCACTATTTAAACTTTAGCGATCTTATTCAATTTTATTGAATTTGGCAAATCTTGGCGAATGTTATCTAAGTTTAGAAAAAGAAAGCGACAATTTTTGTGTTGTGTTCACCTACTCCATAAAGCGGGCTTGTGAAATTAGGAGGTTTCATGTCGTAGTGGTGCAATGACGGCAAAGAGATGTACAAAATAGCGTGATGCAAGTGCAAAGTTGTCGTGTGTTAATATAAACATACTATTTTTTGCCGTTTTTCTTGCCGTCGCCGTCGTCGTTGGTTTTGTTGTCATCCACAAATAGTTCTACTACGGTATCGTGACGTCATACTTTTCCTCTCTATTTTACAAGATAAGAGTTTATAAAATTGTAATATTTAAAAAAATGAAATGTACATCGAATAAAAACTAAGAATCTAAAACGACTTAAATTATAATTGTATATTAATAACATACAAGTATGTTATACTAGAAATACTAAGTATCACTGTAAGTATCACTGATTATATTAATAGGTACTTTAAAAGTCACTTTGGAGAGATCTCGTTTCGTCAGTAAAACTGGATAAAGAGGCGGCTTTCCTTAGTGACAGATCAAGTGGAATTCCACTCATTTGCGGCAAAGGGCTCATTTAGAGCTTTTTGAAACATACTAAGGCTCTGCTCACAACTGCTTGGTGCCACTGGCAAGGGAGGTATACAGTGCCTAGTAAGTACGAGCTAACTAGCTCTCCTCAATTCAGATTCCTTCATCTTCAGGGAACCAGTGGCAGATAGTGACATAAAAAAACGGTACATGTGACATGGTCGAGGAAAAAGTGAGCTTACTTGGTCAAGTGAAAAAGGAAAGATTGTTCAGATTCCTTACAGGCAAAGTTCTTTAAAATAACATTTTCCGATTTTCCGTATCCCGCTAATTGTCACAGTCTCAAATCCCTGCTCAAATAGGGTAAATCTTGACCAAAATAACCTACTGGGGACCCTCTTTACGGGCACTAACCATTTAATACAGGTTTTACCAACCAAAGGTTAATACAAAAGAAGATGTTGAGTAGGAGAAATATCCACTGCAAGACGAAATAGCCCAGAGAGGGTCTTGCTGTCTACTTGTGCCAAAAGAAGAGAAATTAGAGGCCATTTGTTTTTTATTTTATTTTATTTAATCCTCCAATTCCTAGCTGATGCGTAGTTATGTAAATATAACGTTGAAAAAAGGTAATATAGTAACAGATAAAGATTTACAAAGGAAAAAACGCGTAAAACAGAAATTACAACAGTTAAATTGAATTACATTGTATATTGAAAGGAGAGGAGAGGGGCACATCTAGATAAACTAATATTGTGCCCCTTAAAATTATGTATAACAAAGGACTTGAGATTATTAATAAAAAAGTAAAGGAAAAATGACAAAATAACACAGAAAGTTATAAAAGAGAAAATATTTCATTAGTATTGAGCAAGGTACCAGCGTAGAAGTGCTTTTCTAAACATTGTTCAGATGGTTTGTCTCTAATGGATTGCGGAATATCGTTCCAAACGGAACTTCCAACAATGCTGGGGCAAAATCTCCTAAGATTAGTTCGAAATAAAGGTATTGCAACTTGACTGGATGATGCACTGCGGGTACTGTAATTATGTAGTTCAGATACTAATGAAACAGGTATATTAGGAAACTTTTCATGGTGGAAATAATTATAAAAAGCATACATGTGTTCAGTTTAACAATATCAGGAAATTTCAGAAGGCCTAAGGATGTGTAGTGTGGAGTTATTGATTCCATTAAAGGAACATCATTTATTACACGAACCGCTTTGTTTTGTAACTTTACGATTTGAGACAATGGAGAGTTATAATTATTTCCCCAAAGTGTACAAGCATAAGTAAGGTAAGGATAAATAAGAGAATAATACACACTAATAAGTGTTGCTTTTGATACATAATGCTTCAACTTAACCATTATATTTATATTTTTGCTAATTTTGCCACATATGTAGTCAATATGGTCATGCCAAGTAAGGTGACCATCAATATACACACCAAGATATTTTACACAAAAGGACTTCTCTAAATGAACATTTGCTACAGTTAGTGGTGGATAAAGATTGTAGCTTTCCTTTTGACGAGGAATAAAAATAAGAAACTTAGTTTTTGTCAAATTTAAGGTCAATTTATTACTGCATAACCATTCGTGGACAGCTGGTAAATGATTGTTAATTTCACGCAATAAACTGTCAAGATCACTTCCAGAAGCTGTTAAAGATGTATCGTCTGCATATAATCTAGTAGAAAAAAAAGTGGAAGACTTTGGAAGGTCATTAATGAAAATAATAAATAGCAAAGGTCCTAGTATCGATCTTTGAGGCACACCAGTGGAGATAAAACGTGTATCAGAAGCAACACCATTTGCATGCACCTGTTGTTTCCTGTTACTTAAGTAAGATTGAAACCAGTTGTATTCACTTTGTTGTAATCCATAGTACTTAAGTTTATTTAGTAATATTTGATGGTTTACTGTACCGAATGCTTTACTTAAATCTAAGAATAAAGAAACCACATAAAGTCCTTTATCAAGAGAGGAGGTTATTTCTTTAATAAGGTCAATTAGACAATCAGAGGTTGTAAAACTCCGAAAGTCTCTGAATTCGAAATAATCAGGAAAAGGACTAAATTTCGGGTCATACAAAATAGTAAAAACTGGTAGATGATCCGCAATCTCAACTGCGAGGCTGCCACTTGAGTAGGAAGTCGAAATATTTGTAAAGATATGATCAATGCAGCTTTGTGAATTTTCAGTAATACGTGTTGCTTTAAAGATCAGCTGGCTGAATCCTTCTGATTGTATTAAATTAATATATTCCTCAGAGATGCTTGTTTTTGTAAGAGTATTTATATTAGTATCACCCATTAAAATGCATTTCTTCTTAGACAGAAAAACATTGTGTAGAGTTCGTTCGAGTTTGTCTAAAGTCTGGGTTTGAAAAATTTGGGGTTTATAAATGACACCCACAATCATATCATTAGTTTCTATCCACAGGTTTTCAATTGAGTCTATTTTGAGGTCATTTCTAATTGAGAAAGAATAGCCTGATCTGACATACAAAGCAACACCGCCACCTGTCGAAAAGGTGCGATTTTGATTGAGTAAAGTGTAACCTGGGTTTTAATAAAAGGTATAATCAGTTTCAGAGGTGAACCATGTCTCGGAGCAACCGATAAAATCAAACTTACATGAAGTCTAATCCAGAAGATTGCACATTTGTTCGAAATGTTGTTTTAAGCTTCTTGCATTTAACTGAATAACAGAGTATTGAGGTTTGACAGTACAAGACAACTCGTTAGTTTCTTCAATTGTGTAAATATTGTAAATTTAAATCAGGGTCAGAGGACTCTTGGGTCATTTGCATAAAATTTTAGCTTGACAAAATTTATGTAAACAATTTAAGATAAATGATAATTATAAAGCTATGTAGACATTTAAGATGGGACTTTAACACATAAACAAAAGTGTATACTGTTCAAATATCTCAAGCCTGATGTAGCCCACCGTCGATATAAAGCCTGCCATGATGAAATCTAGGTCTTTTCCCAGTTTCAAATGCTTCTTTCATAACAGATCTCAATTGTTTCTTCTTTTGACGGTCTTCCCATATCAAACCATCCGAAACGCGCACACCATCACGTCGATCCCTCTTCTTTTTGATAACTCTAAACCGTTCCGGACGGTACAATAACTTAGACAAAATTGGTCTGGGAGTGACATCTTCCTTAAAGGACCCGATCCTGTGGGCGTTCTCGATGTTTGATCGCAATTGGAGATCATTTTCTATGATATCACGGAGCTAGGTAGTATAAATTAAGGACACTGTTTTAACGTCCCCTGCTGGAGGCGGAATTTCCGTTACATAGTGTCATCTGAGACACGTGAAGGTCTAGTCGTTTGCCTCAATGCAGTGATTTTATGACTTGTACTGGTCTGGCCCGGACGTCTGGAAACCGGAATGGAACGGGAATGGGAACATGAACCGGAACCGGAACCGGCAACGGCAACGGCAACGGAACAAGGACAGTAATGTGAAGGGGAACCGATACAAGAACAGGGACATCATTTACTTTAAGTTATTTTAATTCTAATCCAATTTATACAAAAAATAAGAAAACTAGTCTGGTATCATGCTCCCCCCGAACCTCATATAACGAGAAGGTAACGAGAAGGTATAAAAAGCCGCAAGCAACAGCTTTGCGAGTGCATCGTGCTTTCTGTCAATTTCTTCACAGCCTATGCACAACTACGACGTAAATGATCAAATCTTAAGTTAAATCTTAAGTTCTCTTGAACGTCAGGTGATAAATTTTATTGTGTCTTTCTGAGCTCGGACGCGGTCTTCAGCTTCATTTCCCAACCTTTAAAAGCCTGGACAATTTGGAATTAATGAGAAATAGTTTGAAATAAGACTCGAATTCAATTTCTCAGTGGCGTTTTCGCTGGCGTTGCCGTTGTCAGATCTTAAGGTTCCTTTTGTCTC